TTGCAGAGACTGCAGGGTGACTTGAGCCAGGAGGCCTTGCAGAAGGTTGGGTATTTCTGGGGTGTCCTGTTGGGGAAGAGATGGAAGGATGGACTGTTTGAGTCAGAATGCTGTCCCCCTACACCTGGCCAAGAGAGAATGGCCTATCAAGGAGGAAGACCCTGAGCCTCCTGGCCCCTCCCCTAGGCCCCCTCAGTCATCTTGGGGAGTCTTCTGGTGGTCTGGCGGAGCTGCCTAGAGATGGTGTGTGTGGCTAGCCTGATGCTGAGACCAACAAGCCTGAAAGTCCAGTCCACAAATAACCATGGCCGCCCGCCTTTCCCATTCACTTCCTCCTGCCTCTGCCAAACGGGAATCAGCGAGTCAGCTGAAATCCATGGGCCCTCACTGAGCAGACACAAACCTCCCTGCTGTGTCTGTGCGAGCCCTATGCCCGGGCTCTTCCCATGGATTGAACCTCCAATCTCGTTGCTGAACTTCCAAGGCGGGGAGGGGCAGATGTAATTCCAGGTACTTGTGGCTCGGACAGTCCAACGGCAGAGACCAAGTATCCTCTTGTGGGGGCTGTGAATTGCCCCGTGTAGTGATGTGTACGTAGAATATGCTCAGAATCTCTTCCCGTGGATGATGGATGCCTTTTCAAGCTCCACCATTTACTAGTACGTGAAATCTGGAGCATCACCTAACCTTTCTGAGCCTCGCTTTCTACAACGGGGATAATATTCAGAGAGTCTGTTGAGGACCCACCACGTGTCAGGCACTTCGTAGATCACTGCACAACCAGCTTCCCAGTGCATCCTCCCCAAACCCCCTGAGGTTGTCATCCTTAACTAAACTCACAGACGGGCAAACAGAGCCTGGGAGGTGAGGTGCCCGCCTACACAGGGTCCTTTTAATTCCAAGAAGCACGTTCTCCATGCTTCCCGTGACATCACCTGTCCCACTAACTTCCAGGGTCCCCGTGGGTGCTCCGTGCCATTTATTCACCTCCCTGGGGAGTGTGGTGTGGAGGGTAAGAAGGCAGGCTCTCCGCTCACATCCTGCCTTCGATACTTACCTGGCAAGTCTTCACCAGTCTGAGCCCCATTCTTTTTGTAATTCACGGATGACAGTGGTACTTGCCTTAGCGTTGTTGAGAAGATTAAATGATATGGAGCCCCAGGAACACTTAGCACGCAGAAAGTGCTTCCTGAACACTGGCTGCTGCTATGGTTGTCATTAACATTCCTGCTTGAGATCTCATTGCAGGGCATCTGTTAGGCCCACTCTGTGGCGATCTTTTTTTTTTTTTTTAAATATAGTTTATTGATTTTTTACAGAGAGGAAGGGAGAGAGATAGAGAGTTAGAAACATCGACGAGAGAGAAACATCGATCAGCTGCCTCCTGCACATCTCCTACTGGGGATGTGCCCGCAACCCAGGTACATGCCCTTGACCAGAATCGAACCTGGGACCTTTCAGTCCGCAGTCCGACGCTCTATCCACTGAGCCAAATCGGTTTCGGCTCTGTGGCAATCTTAAACCAGGATTGCTTTCTTCCATCACTCACACACCTAGGGATTCCGGAGCATGCTCTTTTAACCGTGAGGGTTCCTTGGTGGAAGCCATGGCTGCCTCCCAGACATGATCGCGTGGGGATGGAGCACAGTGGGGAGGCAGGCAAACTCCCTTACCCTTGGGTACATCTTGGGGCACAGGACTCCAGCCCAGTTGGAGATAAGGGATTCCCAATCGCAGGGGAGAAAGGTAGGTGTCCCGGACGCTCTCTGCACTGGGGAGGTGAGCAGAAAGTCAATGCCCGAAGCCCTTTTCCTCCGAGACTCCTCAAATTCAGAAGATTAGAGATGGGACCAGGGTCTTAGAGAGGCCAATGAAGAACTTCACTTTTTTTTTATTTTGGCCCATATCGGAGAAGCTACTTGCTCAAGGTTGCACAGTAAGTTGAGAAAGAGATAGAAATCAAACTGAAGCTGGAGTTCTGAAACCTGTGCGGGGCTCAGCCCTGGGTTGGGTGCCGGGCAGGGCGGGCCTGAAGTTCTGATGCCATCTTGCCCTCGAGGACTTCATATTCTGGTGTGGGAAGGTATTGCTTCCCTTTATTCAAATATTCCTAATAAAAATCAAGAAAAACTCCCGTTTATTAAGCATTTACCAGGTGCCAGGCTCTGCACTAAGTGGGGGTGAACGTTGCCTTGTCCCTCATAAACCTGTTGGGGGGTCGGAGCGGGGGGTTGTGACAGAAGTGTGGTGTCCAGTCTGTAAGGATCCCCTTGGGGTATTAATGTCAAAAGTGGGGCAGGAAGAAGGCATCTGGGCTCCTGGTAACATTCTGTACCTTGATCTGGGCATGGTTATGTGGATGCACTCATTCTGTAAAAATTCCCAAGCAGCTCATCTACTTTACCAGATGCCTATTATAAGTCCACAAGTAAAGTTTTAAAACTGTAAAATTAGCCCTAGCCAGTTTGGCTCAGTGGATACAGTGTCCGCCTGCTGACTGAAGAGTCCCGGCTTTGATTCCAGTTAAAGGCACCTACCTTGGTTGCAGGCTCCTCCCCAGCCCTCACATGCGGAAGGAAACCAATGGGTCTGTTTCTCTCACATCGATATTTCTCTGTCTTTCCCTCTCTCTTCCACTCCAAAAATCAATGGAAAAATATCCTCGGGTGGGGATTAAAAAAGAAAAGTAAAAGTAATGAAATAAGAGGACTGGCCTTACATCCAAAATATGGGCTTGCCCATCTCCAACAAGGTGCTAGCTAAGCTCTGTGCGGCTAAGGAACCCCTGGGGTTCCATCCACGGCACCAACACAGAGCGGGAGATAAGCAATCCAGACAGTGCTTACCTGTGAATTCGGGTCCCAGATCCAGTCGTGGCTTCCTGACAGCCCCAGGTGTCAGACACTCTCCTGATAGCGTTATTGGAACTGATCTCATTAGAGGTGGATTCTGTCATTAGTCAGATAGTCGGAGTTTCACGGATGCTGAAAAGGTTGGCAGCATTGGATGGACTGTCTGGGAGTAATGCAGACTGTCTGGGGGTATCAAAGAAGCAAGGACCTAGGAGTCAGACGTGCCACTCCTCCCTAGTTGTATGAACTTGGGCAGGTCATTGAATCTCTCTCAGCTTCTGTAGTAGGTGTGTAGGTGAGAGATGGCAATACCTATTTTGTAGGATGCCAGAGCCTTCCTGTAGCAAAGTATATGGTCGGTGCTGGACCTTCAAAAATGTTATTTCCAGTTTTAAATCAGATATTACTGTGGTCACTGAAGCCATTGGAATGTCTTTGCCTGGGGTGTGAGTGCCAAGAAGACAGGATTGGGGCGGGGGCAGGCTGTAGAGAAGGGAGGTGAGTGAGAGGAGGCAGAGGGCAGGCAGCCATGGGGGGACAAGGAGCTGGAACACCTGCCCTAGGCCTGTCTCTGACTTGCTGTGTTGATCTTGGGCAACTTGTTCAAACTCTCTGCGGTGCCATTTCCACATCTGTAACACAGGGCTGTTCAAAGGATGTGTGTGTGTACAGTTCATCGTGAGGCTGGCTCTTGAGAGCAGCTGAGCATTCCAACCAGGGAGTGATAAGATGCCCCTGGCCTGGGCCCCAGAGGGAGGAGAATTCTGGGGAGGGGTCTAGCCCTAACCTCTCCCCCCACCCCTAGGGTGGACTCAAAATTTAAATCCAAGACCAGGTTTTTCGCCCCAGAATTGATCAATCGCCCCCCCCCCCCCCCACCTCATGTCAGTAGATAAGCTGAGGATCTGGTCCGTTGGGCCAGAGATAACAGCCAAGATTGTTACCCTGCAATCAGGCCCAGAAGTGACCTCTCAGATACTTCTCCATTTGTAGGTCCCCTGGGACAGCAGAGGCAGGGAAGGCCTTTTCACCCTCTGGGCTACCTGTGTCTGGTGCCCTGAGTCCTGGAAGGCTGAGCAGGGGTCTGAGGAAGAGACATGACTGCCTAGAGGGAATATCAGAGAGTAGGTCACCCACCCTGCCAAGGCCACTAGCTCCCGGCAAGGATATTCAGCATGGCCAGGGCTCGGCACTTGTTGGCCTCTCTTTGGCCTGCAGTGAATGTGGCTGGAGCTGGGTTGATTAAAGTTTTGATATTTTAATCATCACAGATGTTTTTGCTTTTATTTTTATTTCCAAGAAAGATTGCATGAAAGCATTATTTATCTTGACTACTGAATTCTTTAGTGCCCCCTTAAATTTTGCACCTGAGATGAGTGCCTCACTCACTGCCCCCTAGTCCTGACCTAGTGGTGACAGAGGGCTGGTGGGAGATGAGGATGGGGGTGGGGAGGGTGGCCCCCATGGTGTCAGGAAGATTCTGCACTAAGCTTTCCATTGCAGCTGTCTCCTCTTTGCCTGAAGATATGCCTTGAGGTTGGATTAAATTTTATAGATCAGCGATTCTCAATGGAGGCAACTTTGCTCCCCAGAGGACATTTGGAAATATGTGGAGATGTTTTTGATAGTCTTTGGGGGACAGTCAGATGATGGGGGAGGTACTCCTGACAGTTACTGAGTAGAGACCATGGATGCTACTAAACTTCTACAATCCCCCCTTCCTTCCTCTGCCAACACACTACAAAGAATTACTTTACTCCAAATAGTAAGAATGAAAAGGTTGAGAAACTTCATCTAGATCTATAGCATAGAAGAAAGAGCATATGTTTTTCACACATTAAAGATGAAAAAATAGAGAAACCAAGATGGTGGCATAGGTAAACACGGGAAATTGCTGCCTTGCACAACCACTTCAAAAATACAACTAAAAGACAAAACGGACATCATCCAGAACCACAGGAAGGCTGGCTGAGTGGAAATCCTACAACTAGAAGAAAAGAGAAAAGCACACTGAGAATCAGAGGAGGTACAGAAGTAAAGTGCAGAGGTATGGAGGCGCACACGGAAAGGGCTGGCAACTGAGGACGCGGTTGTCTTTTTCAATCAGGAGGGAGTCTAAGCTCCCGACTGCTCTGAACTCCACATCTATCAACAAGTGAATCTAAAAGTCAAGTGAACAAATAATCTGATGAACAGAATAAACTGGTGAATATAATAGAATCAGGGGCATAGAAAGGGAATGGACTGACTATTCTTGGGGTGCGGGGGGAAAGGGATGTGGGGGGTGTGGGAAGAGACTGGACAAAAATCGAAGGATGAGGACAGTGGGGGGGTGGGTAAGGGCAGAGGGTGGGGTGGGAACCAGGTGGAGGGGAGTTATGGGGGGAAAAAAGAGGAACAACTGTAATAATCTGAACAATAAAGATTTAATTTAAAAAAAGATGAAAAAATAGAAAGAGGGAGAACTAGAGTTTGAACAAGAAAAAGAGGAGGAAGGGAGAGAGAGAAAGAGATAGATAGATGATAGATAGAAGGTTTGGGAGCCAAAAGGACTAGGATTCCCAGATCCCCCACTTCCTGTGCACACTTGCAAGGGACTTTTCCTCTCTGAATCTCATTTTCCATACATGTGAAGTTAGGGTCATCATACATTCCCATGGGAATGAGGAGACGGTGATGATTCTGGGATAGGATACATATGAAGTCCCTGGTAGACATAAACTCAGGAGGGTGGGACTCCCTTCGCCTTCTCCCTCTTCCCCTTATGGTCCCCCAGCATTGTAGGATCCTCCCCCACATTGGCTGAGATAATGACCAGAGGAAGGCTGCTCATAGGGTTAAGACTGGGCACTTTAGGGGTGCTAATAGTAAGTATATGTGGGCAGTAGACATCTGGGGTCTTCTCCAGCGCACCTGGGTGGTTAGACACCCATGTGTGTCAGTGGACCCCAGGAGGCAGGTCCCTGCAGTCCCAGCAGGGAGCAGTTGAGAGAATTGAACAAATGCCTTATTATCAGCTCCCCTGCCCAGCACCCCAGCCTGGGGCAATCATCCAAGCCTCTTCCCACTTCCCCAAAAGCCCAATATAAGGACTGCCTCTGGGACCCCTCATTCTGAGACAGCAAGAGTGGAGGTCTCCGACACTTCAGAGGTGAGTCCTCTCCCAGCTGCCTAGGGAGCCTAGGAGGCCTGTCCCCAGGACCTTGATGGCCATTGTCCTTCCACTACGTCCTCAGTGTAGTGGAACCGGTCCTGACCTTGAGTACACCTGTTCTTGCAGGGACAGAGTCTGGGCTAAGTGTCATTTCAGGGGCCAGTGATAAAGCCCATGGGTAAAAGGGACATTTTCTGCTTCTCCAGGTCAGCATCTGTTCACTGGGGGAGAAGGAAGCCCTCTAACTTGCCTTTAATCAGCTAATTAAACAAACATTGCATCTCTGTTGTGGGACAGGGGCCGTGTAGACACAGTGAGCACATCCACGGCGGGAAGTGAAGCTGTGTCCCTGCCACAAGAACAGTGACTATGAAACTCCCCCTGCTCCTGCTGCTCCTCCTGCTGGGGACAGTTGCTGCTCTTCATCAGGGTAAATCCTCCCTTCCCTTCTCATCCAGCTTGACCCCTTCTCCTCTTTCTGGCAACTCCTTGGCTTCTTCTGGGCCAGGGCCACAGCTTTTCCTTCTTCCGTGGACCCAGCTCCCCTCAGGTAAGATCTTCATGGACTCAGAAATGTGACCTGAACAATCTGTCGGGGCTACTCCTCAAGCAAAACCCACCCACCTTCTCAGAAGTGCTTCTTCCTACCCCGAAATACACACCTGTCAGCCAGCACCATGTGCTCACCCCAAACGGGAGGAGATTCTTAGGCCTAGGCTCCAGAAGGAGACACTAGGAAGGCTTAAATGGGGCTGTCGGAGCTGTCCGTGGTCCTAGAAGAAGGGGATCCCTGACATGATGGCAAGCTACCTGTTCTTCCAGGGAATGATGCCCTCTATCCTGACAGCCAAGAGTCACAGGCAGACCTGAGCCAGGATCTGGAAGGCTCTGGGGAACAGGAGGGAGAGTCAGTCCTGACTGAGGAGGCGATTCAGTCTGAAGGAGAGCAGGTGGAGGCTTCCAGCTGCCAAGATGCCGTTGAGGATGAAGAGGCCATGGAGTCGGACCAAGATGACCTAGATGAGAACTTGCAGTGCCCCAGGGAAGAGGACACAGTGAAAATTCTTGGCAGTCCTGGATGCAAGACCTGCCGCTACGTGTTGGTGCGGACCTGCAGAAGATTTAGAGGCGCTAGGGTAAGTGGTGGCAGGGAGGCTGCTGATGGAGGACCAGGGGCAGGAGAAGATAGTGGATTCCACCTCCTGTTCCTTATTCATTTACACTAGTGGTTCTCAAATGCTAGTGAGCAGCAGAATCTCCTAGAGGTCTTGTTGAAGCATAGATATCAGAATTAGCAGGCGGGGCCCAAGAGTTTGCATTTAGGACCAAGTGCCTGGTGATGATGATATTGTTGGTCTGGAGACAGTACTTTGAGAATCACTGATTGGAACAAAGGCTTTGGTATTAGATATACCTGTGTTAAACCCTGGCTCCACCTGTGATTGTCATGTTACCTGGGCAAGTCACTTCACCCTTCAGAGCTTCAGGATCTTCACTTGTACAATGGAGATATATGGTACCAGCCTCTTATGTTGTGGTTATGTTTAAATGAGGAAACACATGGCAAGCATTTCGGTCAGTCCTTGAGTCATTATAAACTCCCAGTAAACAGTGGTTAAGATTATTCTCAGCATTATTATTATTTCCTGCAAGAAGGTCCCGGTGACAGATGAAGGAGTAAGAGATGGAATTGGAGGAGCAAGTAGATCCCTGATTTCTGACCTGACCAGGGGTGGAGAGTTTTCTCCTGAAGTCTCAGGAACTTGAGGGGAAAAAAACCCCAGTGAATTATCTACCCCACCTCTTCTTTCTGCAGGACACCTGCTGGAGGTGCTACAGAGGCAACCTCGTCTCTATCCACAACCTCAGTGTCAACTATCAACTCCAGTGCTTGGCCAGTAATGTTAACCAGCAACAGGTCTGGATTGGAGGCAGACTCAGGGGCTGGGTAAGTGAGGGGCCAGCTCCCAGGTACAGGAAGTTCTCTCTGGCATCAGGCCTCATCCCAGCAGCCGAGTGACCTTCCTGTGGGAGCTGGCCGGTGTGGCTAGAGAGAACTGGTGACTGTGCGCATCTCTTCCCATTCCATGTTCAGTGACTTCATGCCATGGCAGGTGTATTTACCCCAAGGAAATTGGCAATTGTTACAAATCAGGGTTCCTCCCTCCTTCTGCCTTCTCACCTTCCCCCAGAGCTGGTTGATAAACAGTTACCAGCTCAGCACTGGAGTCAGAGATCCTTTCCTTCCCCAGCTTGCTCATTGACAACCCGAATGGCTTCCTCATGTCTAAAATGGGGTCCTTCTCTCAGAGTGGTTCTGGGATAGTGGGTGAATAAGTGCTATTATATTTGCTACTCAAGTGTGGTCCATGGACCAAGCAGAATTAGCATTGCCTGATAGCTTGTTAGGGATGCACCGTCTTGGGCCTCATCTGAGACTCCTGAATCAGCAACTCCATTTTAAAAAGGTCTGCAGGAGACTTGTATTCACAGAAAGTTTGAGAAGCCTGGCTGTGTGAGGCGGGGGGGACCACTACTCATCCATTGTCATTGCCTGCAAACCTCAGGGGTGGGTGTCCAGGATATCTAGCTCCTAGCTGGGTGGGCAGTGCCCAGAAAGGGACACTCAGTGGGCATTTTCTGGAACCTCTAGTTATGTCTATCATCCTGGAATCAGCCTCTGACCCAGCCTATCCCTTCTCTCGTTCTAGTTCAGAAGGTTACACTGGATTGATGGGAGTGCTGTGAATTTTAGTAACTGGGCTCATCATCATGGGCGTGGCCGCTGTGTGACCCTATGCACCAGAGGTGAGGGGGACTGGGCCCCAGGGCAAAGGGAAGGGAAGGCAAGGTGGACTCTTACACACTGTCCCTTTGAGCTGCCTGAGCAACACCTCCTCAAACTCACAGCCTCCCCACAACTGGAGAACCAACGTCCTGTCTGTGCGGAGGGCTGTGAAGTAGAGTAAAGGGGTGCCCTGTGTGAGGGCTGGATGTGGCTCTCCATCCTCACAGTCCAAGCTCGGCTGGGCCCCTGGGGTCTTCTTTCCTCCCTCTGCTATTGACGTGACACTTAAGAATACCCAAGGTGAATGAAAGGTGTGGATGAGGGATGAAGGAGAGATGTGTGAATTAGGAATGGCTGAATGCCAGACGTGAGGGACTCAGGACTGTGGCTAAGGCCATACATGCTGGAGAAAGGCTGCCACAATTCCCATCCCAGCTCTGCCACCTGCCCACTGGCATTCAGGACAGTGATTTCCTTGCTGAGCCTCAGGTTCCTCATCTGTGCAATGGGGATGATGAGAGCACCTCCCTCTGGAAGTCATTGTGAGGATTAGCCAGCAGCCCCCAGAAAGTACTCAGCACCCTGTCTTCCTGGGGTGAAAACTCAACAAACACAAGCTAGTGGGGGGGGGGGGTGCAAACATATCATGACAATTGGAGGGCAAAGCGGGCACGGGCCACACTCTGCTGGCAGCTGACACCACTGTGTTTTCTATTTTTAGGAGGTCGTTGGCGACGAAAATGTTGTATAAGTCGCCTGCCCTTCATCTGCTCCTACTAAGCCAGAAGCTGGGAAGAGATCCTGCCTGGAGCCCCCTGGCGGCCCCTGGCCCGCCCTGGGCGCTGGGCTGGACTCCCAGCCTCTCCTGGTCATAAAGTCATGTTTCCCACCGCATTTCCTGACTCTTGTTTCTTCATTGCTCATTGGAGGGCTCCCCGGGGTTGGAAATCCTGGAAGTACTCACTCCTGTAGGGTGGGGCTTTGAGGAAAGTAAAGGATGGCCAGCGGGGCTCTGCTTCTCAATGTCCCGGTAATTGCTGTAAGCACCTCTGAGAGAAAGCTGCCCTCGAGTTCCGACCGATGCCAGACGGTCCCGCTTCTCCCGTATGAGTCTGGGTCCCCAAAGACTCGCCCGGAACTGGAGCTCAGAGCCTGAGACTCCCTCCCAATTGCAAAAGACAACCGCGCCTTCAGCCGCCAGCCCGCTCTGCGTGCGCCTCTGTACCTTGGTGTTTGGCTTCTGCACCGCTCCTCCTCTGAGTCTCGATACACGTAAAGATTTTTGTTTTTGGAGAACCAAGATGGCAGCATAGGGAGTAGACCTGTGCGTGCTGCCTCCCACAACATCATTGAAACTACCAACTATAAGACAAACAACCACCATTCAGAACCATGGAGAGGTTGGCCCGGTGGGAGTTCTGCAAATGGAAGGAAAGAAAGAAGCACAGTGAGACTGAGTAGGAGCTACAGAGGCGCCAAAAACAGAGGTACACAGTCGCACGCCAGGTGGGCTGCGACCGGATTCGCGTTTTTTTTTCAATTGGAAGCAGTTATTAACTCTGGAATCCTCTGGGCTTGCCCAGGGCAGGTCTCTGAGGCCCCAGACCCCACAGGGAGAGGTGGCACAGCCTTGCAGCAGTCGGAAAGCGAGTGAGGCTCTGGTGCGCAACTGCTCGCCAGCACTGGGGGACGCGAAGTCCCGGTCCCGGTCCCGGTCCCGGTCCCGGAGAGGTGGAGAGGCGAGGAGCCGTGGAGACGCCGCCATTGCTATTTACTCTGCCCTGCGACTCCCTGAGACCCAGCCCTACTCAATTTACATTCCCATCCAGGCTGTGCCAGAGGCACAAGAGAAAACGCCTGCGCTTTTACAAACTCTTGCATCCACTGAGCTGGTTCGGGTGGGATCATGAGGCACCAGACCCTACGGGAGTGGTGGCACGGCTTTGCAGCCGTCAGAAAGCGAGGGAGGCTCTGGTGCGCAGCTACTCGCCGGCACTGGGGGACGCGAAGTCCCGGTGTCCCGGAGAGGCGAGGAGCTGAGGAGATGCCGCCATTGCTATTTACTCTGCCCTGAGACTCCCTGAGATCCAGCCCTAATCAATTTACATCCCCATCCAAGCTGTGCCAGGTGCACAAAAAGACACACCTGCGCTTTTGCAGCCTAACCCAACAAATTTCAGACGTCAACTCCTTACACCCATGGGAGACACACTCAAGAAACAGACCCAGGAGAACCAAGATGGTGGCGTAAGGAAGAGACCTGTGCGGGCTGCCTCCCACAACAACATTGAAACTACCAACTATAGGACAAACAGCTATCATACAGAACCATGGGGAAGCTGGCACAGTGGAAGCTCTACAACTGGAAGGAAAGAAAGAAGAGCATTGAGACTGAGTAGGATGTGCAGAGACACCAAGTACAGAGCCCAACCCAGCAGACTGCAGATTTCAACTCCGTGCATAGAAAGAAGAGCATTGAGACTGAGTAGGATGTGCAGAGGCACCAAGTACAGAGCCCAACCCAGCAGGCTGCAGATTTCGGCTCCTCGCATCCGGGAGGGACGCACTCGGGGGGCGGAGTCAGGTTCGGGGCAGGCGGGGGCCGGCCCGGCTGGGCCGGTGATGTAGAACCGCTGTACCAGCAGGCGCACAAGCACACCCACCAGTTCCAGTGTCGCGTGGGACGCTGGGGGATGACAGACGGGCAATCTGTGCACTTGGTGGAGGGCGAAGTCCGAGCAGGCATGCTGGATGTTCAGCCACCAGGAACGCCTGGAGATTTTGTCTGGTGAGGAGCCACCCGGCAGGGGACAGAGTGCCAAACTTCGTGTTTCCCCGGTGAGGCTGGGACGGCCCCGGTGAGGTCGGGACAGTGCCGGTGAGGCCGATACAGCCCCGGTGAGGTCAAGACGGCCCTAGTGAGGTTGGGACGGCCCCGGTGAGGCTGAAACGGCCCAGGTGAGGTCGGAATGGCTCCGGTGAGGTTGAGATGGCACCCGTGAGGTTGAAACAGCCCTGGTGAGGCCAAGACGGCCCTCGACGGCACTGGCAAGGTCGAGACAGCCCCAGTGAGGTTGGGACGGCCCCAGTGAGGTTGAAACGGACCCGGTGAGGTTGAAACGGACCCGGTGAGGTTGAAACGGCCCCGGCGAGGTAGGGATGGCCCCAGTGAGGTCGGGACGGCCCTGGTGAGGTCAAGACGGCCCTGGTGAGGATGAAACGGCCCCGGTGAGGTTGGGACGGCTCCAGTGAGGTTGGGACAAATAATAGGGACCAGTATAGACTGATGAACAGGGGTAGATGCAGAGGCAGAGCAGCATTGAACAGACTGTCAAACTACAGTGGGAAGCCTGGGGAGGGTTTGGGGGGCGGTTTAAGAGATCAACCGAAGGACTTATATGCATGCATATAAGAATAACCAATGGACACAAGACACTAGGGGGTAGGGAAGGCCGGGGGAATGTCAAGGGGGCGGGGGGAAGGAGACATATGTAATACTCTTTATAA